CAAGCTTGAAGACATTGTATCACTGAAGTCTTCCGTGGAGGCTTCTCATACCGTTGTACAATGCAGGTAAAGAATTATTCATGATTTGAAAATCAGCGTTAGATTTAATTCCACATCTGGTAAAAATACGGTGAACTTTCTTAAAAACTGCACATTAAATCTTGAAAGTTCTTGGATAAGGCGAATTAGAGTCGAAAGCATAGTTTATATTTTCTTTTAGAGATTTACTGTATATAATTACTACAAAATTGGAAAGATCCTGAAAAGGCTGAGAGTAGTTGGACATTCTTTGCTGAAAAGTTTAATAATCCCACAGCTGTCAATATACCAAAACTGTACATTCAAACACCAGCTTGTGCATATCGCTAAGCAAATACAAACACAGGGCACCACATATCGAAAGGTATTGTCTAGGACAAACTTTGAGCTACATCGCCAAAATCCTTAAGAGGTTAATATAAATTACATAAATTTTAAACAAATTGTATTACACAAAACCTCGACGTTCTGGAACGAGACGGATCCACGCTTCGACAATATCGCTTAATAAAATTGCATAAGCCAGTCGTCGATGTACTGTGGAACGATTTTAAGGTAAAGTTATGATGAACGGGTTATTGATATGCACTAAAGATTTAGCTGAAAGGTTTAGATATAGATTGGTCTTGCTTTTACTGATTAATTCTTTTGTTATCTTCCAGATTAATTGTCTCTTATCTTGCCTCAGAGATTTAAACTGGGCGGATATTTTTCAAAACATTTTCATTAATGCGAGCTGCAGCGTAAATCTTGAATGACGACGAATTCTCAACTACGGTGTGACTAGTCTTTTCTTGATTCTCACTACTATGTGCTAATTGCAATTACATGTTTTGCAGCTCTCGAATGTTTTAGCTGTTAGAAGGTTGTTTCGAGTTCGTCAGACGAGTTATGGCATATGATGTGTGTCACTTTTTAATTGTAAATCTGGCAAGAGCTCAGTTTTTAAATAGATCTTCGTCACCTAGGAGCTGTTTCTATAATCTTGAGTCGTTTGCCAGCTAGCAAGTGTCCTATTGAATTGAATTCAACAAAAATTCGTTCACAAAAACATCACACAGTAGATTCTTTTTTATCAGAACGACAGGCCGCAAATGCAAGAGCAAAATTTTGATCCTCGCTAAGAACTGGCTTCTGTCAGACTCGTGCTGTTCAGAACGATTACCTTACTGTGTGCATAAACTGTACTCCCCGAGGTGTCAGTCGCACAATTAAAATTTTTGTGGTTGCTCCATTTAGTACTAAGAAGCCAACTTCAGTATCAGTCTTTATTCAGTTAACAGTGGCACCTGGTTAGAGCTTTATTTTGTAAGTTTGAATTTTATAAATTCACAAAATAAAATTTTTTAAAGAAAATTTATTGTGGTCAATTTTATTAATGGGGGCTAGGTGCACATGCGACTGAGTATTACAAAACATTTCCATTTTAGATGTCTTTGCAGTTTTATTTCCTTCGCCGTCTGTTGAAATGATTTTTGCTCGGGACCTCAGGAAAGTTGATGTTTTTGGTAAACTCTTAAATAGAAAACAGACGCCACTATCAAATGAACTAAATGAGCATGCTGTCAAATCTTCAAACAGCGCAAGAATGGCGGAAGATAAGTTCCTTCACTAATTCTGCTGAAAACGCGGGTTATCCTTTGCCGAAGCTCAGACGCTGTCTCTTAATGGGGAACATTTGAGAAATTGTCTGACGCTGCTGCCTCATCAATTCAAAAGTATAAGCAGTTATTAAAAGCTGCTGACTGATAGCTGCCAAAATAGATTTAATGCATGTTTGAGGAGCTCTCATGTTTTTTTCTTGTAAAGTCCGCAATATTTAGCTGTTGTCCTGGCTCATTTACCGATCCTCAAATGTTGAACGGCTCGCTTTGCAGTTTCTTTTCCTTTTCGATTCGATGATTCCTAGGTACTTGCGAATATATAAACATTAAAAACATTTTTTTCAGTCTTACTCATACTGTGGCAATATGATTTAGTGGTCATGTCCAAGAAAACTAAGTATTAACTGAATTTTTTTCCATCAACTTAGAATGCAATTGTTTGTAACTGCAACATATAGCTAAGTTATTGCTATTCAAAAACTTAACGGTAGTTTTTCCTAGATATATTATCGTATGTTAATGCCGACTTTTGGTCCATGACCTGAGTTCAGAAGTTAGGATTGGAAATGTACGGAATGGAGCCAGATTTCTGGCAGAGAATTCGGAAAGCTTTTCCTGGAAGGCATCTTAAACATTTATTTTTACATCTGAAAAAGTCATTTCACTAGGCTAATCACAGAATGAAATAGCGAATCGGATTTTGGCTCGGAGCCACTGTTCGTCGTGGCACAGGCGGTAACCATTGTCAGTCGGCTAAGATTTGTACTATTATCCGAAAGTGGCTTAGTTACGGGAGCAGGGACGTCACCTGCGGGATTCTGTTGTCTGTTTTCCGCCGGAGGGGTGTCTTGACACTCGATTGCTTGACTTTCCGACGGAGGGGTTGAAACTTTCTCTTCTTTGCGCCATTTTGCTCTTCGATTCTGAAACCATACCTGAAACAGCGAATCTCCTTACATCATATGTCGACAACAAACGAGGAAATGGAAAAAATTATACTAGTACCTCTTTTACGCGATGCAGATTTTAGCGGCTTGAGACTGAGCTGCTGAGATCAATAAAAATTTTCAACTTCAGGAAAAGCTGGTGCTTTTTTATGCCACCAGGCTGTAGTTCCATGGCTTGGAAGAAGTCAGCATGCAATATGGAGGAATAAACAAGATAGAGATGTGCTTTTGGAGAGGATTATTTCTTTGTACAATGCATTAGCTGGTGCATTATAGCAAAAGTGTTGCCCAAACTGTGAATATAGCTGATATCATAAACCAGAGACGTTACGCAATGGCTGAGTGTGATTGCCTCAACAAATACAACTAGCGAATGATTCCTCTAAGGCCATGCTTCAAGGTATATTTCCCGCCCGTTGCTCCTACTTGCCTATGGAGCCATTTAAGAAAGCCACGGCTGTGCGCGAGGTAGCTTTGACAGTCAAACTGATGGGAGATGCATCTGGCATTCCAGGTACTCAAACTTTATGAAGTCGTGGCTTGCTTATATGACCTCCCTAAGTAACTAGGAGCAAGCGAGCGGTGCAGTGCAGCCTGAAGTCTAGTCTTAAAAATATGTTTTAATAAACAGAATATCATAATGCATCTTTTCAGCTCGAAATGATAGCTGTTAAGCTGTTAACAATAATTTGACTTGATATATTGGATGTCGCAAAGGCTGCGCCATCTCTCATGCTTTTTGTCACCATTTGCCATTGCTTCCTGTCAAGCCATGCACCGCAACCCTTCAATTGTGGTGAACTGATACACTTGGACAAGGGCAAATAGACAACTGAAAAGCACGTAAGGATTTCTCATTGTGAAAAGCAACACTTGTTATGAAATATCCCTGACGATGGCTTTCAAGCCATAACGTCGTTTCAAAAAGAAAAATATTAATTTTGCTTCAACCATTACTTTCCAGACAAAATTAATGAGTTCAGATTTTTACGATGTTGTTAAATTTACCTCGCATGACTATTCGAGTAAATAACACGGTAAAGTATCCGTGTTATGATCGTGTTCAGTCGTACTGTAGCGAAAAAAATACCCGTCTGTCATGACCAAGCGATAGGGTAAACAATGACAGCTGCATAATCATTTTCGCTGTCAAAGGGTAGTAATTGTTAGTCTGTGTCTGCGGTTTATGCACCGAATAAAAGACTCGAGGAACTTTCCGAATCTAAATTTCTCCCACTGGGTGAAACAGGCCTGGACAAAAGTCGAAAATAATTCGCAATTAAGCGGTCGTGTCGACGAGGGAGAGGACAATCGACCGAGTGACAAACGCTTTGGCCGTCACTCGCAAAGGGCTTCCGCGATTCGGAGCAGCTGTCGTTTTTTAGCCGTGACACCGGCTGGACATCGGCGATGCGACACGGCTGGAAATTGAATTAAAATTCTACAGCTTTTACGCCAACCGGTCAAATAGGTCGGCAGAGAATGAGGCGATGACTTCAAAGGCGAGGTGTTGATTGTCGTCGATTGATTGCTGTTCCGCGTTCATCAGCGCGCAGAATCAGCAGGTGAAGACGTCGAAACGTTCGCCGGCCAATAGTCGTCGAGCAGCGGCAAGCCCTTGAAGACAGCCAATTCGTTCTCTTGTTAAAAAGCGAGAATCGGACGACCGGCGGTGACCCGTCTGGCTTTCGGAGCGGCGTAAAGCGGTGCCGACAAAAGAGCGAAACGGCAGCGATGACA